AGCAGGATTAGCTTTTTACCCGTTGAGTCCAAGTCAACATTTTTCTGGTACTGCACCGGCTAATAAATTAGGTTAGAAAATCTAGAGTTTGTGTCGGAACTCACCATCATTGCTATCCAAGTGGAACGTTCCATAAGACTCCGCAAGGGCATAGGAAATCTTTCCATTATCCCCGGAATCGCGATCCAAAGCCAGCAACTTGGCGATCACTTCATCTGTGCCAGTAGATGGGGGGACCTGAACCTTTTAAAATCTTGTTTGGCAGCTTTATAAGCGGCATCAATATAGGTTTAGAAAAAAAAAGATTGTGCCAAGTAAATCTGAAGGTGACCAAATTAGTGCTAGTCTTCTCAAAATTTCGTAATGTATTGGATTGTTTCAAACCATAAGCTCTACCCATGTTTTCATAGCCGAGTCAGTTTTTTCTGCTTCTAACAAGCTTACGCGAACAAATTCTATAGTAGTAGAAAGCAGCAGTGCCCTTTTTTTAGCACAACTTTTCCCACCTAGGTGGCTCCATTTTTCTAGGAGATTTTTCGAATTCACGATGAGATTGTAAGAGTTTGAGTCATTAATATTTCTTCACATTCTAGAGCGAAAACATAGAATATAATAAACCAAATGTTGTAAGTGGAGGTGAGATTATACATAAATTGATAATCAGTATATCAGAAAATTTATAGTCATTATTTCTACTGTCGAAAATGATTTTCGTAATAAGCAGCTTTTCAACACGGATGTGGTCCGAGCAAGATATTTGGTTAAGTTTAGTATAAAATCGTGACCTCTCATTCATGCTTATTATTCTTCAAAGCTTCTGGAAACTTAAGGGGACCAAAATGCCATTATCCATATTTCGCAGAAAGCTTAAACGTTTGACTACAACGGTTTTTTAGTGCAATCATTTACCGTCGTGGTTTCTGCCTAGACTATCTTCAAGGAGTCTTTGAAAAAACGGCAAATTATCATATTACGCATACCAAAAAAACGTTTAAATCGTGTTTTTGCCCGTAAGCCTCTGGCGTAAACTGAGACGAGTTTTCTTTATTGAAAAAATGTGTGGAACATATCTTTGAATGGTAAGCATACAAAAGGTATTGATTATATAAGTTCTTGAGCTCTAGAAGCAGGCACAGCTTAAGTCACAAGCCAGTAATTTCTCCTGGCTTAAATATCGTTTAAAAAAAGCGTATCGAGATATTAGCAAATGAGAGCTGGGCGCTTACGTAACCATCGACCGAACGAACGTAAATGCGCGAAGTAATACAATATAATTATAATAAACGATCTCCTTCCAAAATTTTAAATTCATAGGAAATTTTCTAACATGAGTATCTAGATAAATAGTAGAAGATTTAGCGAAAATTAGCTCTGCATTTTTTAGTTTCAGAAAATCTGGGCGAGTTTGCAGTAAATAGGGACAAAAATAGCTATTGCAAACCGTTTTCAAGATGAGAAAACAAGTTTAAAAAGTTCTCTATTTTAGAAATCCCAAGATAACCAACTTTAGAACTGAAATAAATTGAAATTTACGATAAAAACAAGAATTTAGATGGTTCCTTTACTAAATAAGGAAAAACACATGTTAAGAGAAATACCAGTGGTTTTCGGGTGATTATCACTGTCAGTTACGAAATTTATTTCTTTGTTATTATCTTTTTCCAAAGAAGCCAATCGTTATGTAATAAAATATACCTTAATAT